TTATACCTGGGAATGAAATTGACGCGGGCTCCGTACCAAATAGCGGGTTTATCGTGACCTAGACTTGGGTTTAAGTGGTAAATTGCCTATGCAAATGACATCACTACAAGACTCTAAATCTAACATTTATAAAGTAGTAGCACGTATATGATAGTAATTTCATTTTAGGATAGGTTAGGGGCTGCGTATATATTTAATAGGAGGTGATTACTATTGTTTTTATAATTTCCAACGGAACCATCGTCAAGTAGAAGCACTAGTAGTCGATTCACTCGTAACTAAACTATATTTGAAATCAGCCCGATGAGAACTGTTATGTTACTTGTTTCTAGCGGTGAGCTGGGACACGGGAAATCCGCGATACTGTAACTTAGGCTAGAGCGCTACTGCAGCTATCACGCGCGGATGCTGGGTCCAGGGACAAGTGTGGTGCGGCCTGCCCGCAGAACAACATTCTATCATAAACCCACATCAATATCGGTGGAGTTAATATTACAGACTATTTCATACAATCATTATTGCTGACAAGTGAGTGCGACTCGAACATTTACTCAGTTTATCTACGTGTAAATATAAAACTGGTACTAATATCTTTACAAGCAAAAATTTTAGGAACTGCATGCAAAGGCCTGAGGCAATTGTAGTCGCAAAGTAACAATAATTTTGTCTGGTATTTCCGATTAACTCACAGACACGCAACGCGCAACGCACGCACCACGCTAGCACACCACACAGAACACACAAACACCACACACACACCACACACCCACCACACACACACACATACACACCACACGCACACACACACACACACACACACACAAACCAAAAACATACACAACACCACACACACCAGATACATACACACACACAGCACACACAGGGACACAGCTACATACGCACACACACACACCACACACACACACATACAAACACGACAACACACACACCAACACACACAACACACACAAAAACACAACACACACACAACATAATAACACACGACACACACACAACCACACACCACACAACACACACACAACACAACACACACACATAACACACACACACACACACACATCATACACACACCCCACACACACACACACATACACACACACACACATACACACAACACACACACACACACCAACACACCGCCAACTCATACACACACCCCACACACACACACGACACACACACAACACACCCACACACACACACACACAGCACACACACACACACACACCACAGCATCACCACATACCACACATACTATATATATATATTATAATACGTATATAATATATATTTATATATTATATACATATTATATGTAATATTATATATATATAATTGATAAATAACATAACACACTGCCACCTACCTCTGACATCATAAGAACGTAATATCGCATCGATTGATTCTCAATGTACAGTTGTCATTGACGCGTGATAACATGGATAATAACATTTAGCACACATTTCGGAGATGCAAACGACACGAGTCGCTGCATCCGTCACATGACGAGGGTCTGCTTCCAGGTGTCTGGGTCGTCGGTGCAGAACAGCGCAATCATACAAGCCGGTTTCACGGCATCACGTAACGAATGCCGTACTCGGATGGTCCAACATGCGGTCATCCACCTGTCGCCAAGATGCTAGAGGTATGTCACCTTCCCATACTTGTCAACGATACTAGCAGATATGTCTCTCCTTGTTGTAAGATAGTAAACAGTTATATGTCCTTTCTTCCTCGTGTAAAGATTTTATGGCAAGATATGCTCCCACTTGTTCCATTGTAAAGACAATTAGCAGATTTTATTCCCCCCCACTGCTGTTAAAGATGCTAGCAGTTATATTTCCCCTACTTCTTTGCTAAAGATACTAGCACGTATATTATTTCTTCCCTCCACTGCGTGTAAGATACTAGCAGATTATATTTCCCCCTCTTCTGCTTTGTGTAAAAGCATATAGCAGATATTTTCCCCCTCTCCTGTTTGTAGATACTAGCAGCAGATATTATTTCCCCCGCTCTCCGTATGCTAAGATACTAGCAGATTATATTTCCCCCTGTCCTGTTGTAAAGATGCTAGCAGATATATTTCCCCTCTCTGCCTGTATAGATAACTAGAGACTATATTTCCCCCTTCTCCTGCTTGTTAAAGAGTTACTAGCAGATATATTTCCCCTCTCCTGTTGCTTAAGTACTAGCAGATATATTTCCTCCTCATCCTGTTTAGTAAGATACTAGCAGATATATTCTTTCCCCCTCTCCTGTGGTAAAATACTAGCAGATATATTTCCCCCTTCGTCCTGTTGTAAAGATTTACTACAGAATATTTCCCCCTCTCCTGGTTGTAAAGATGCTAGGCAGATATATTTTCCCTGTCTTCCTGTTGGGTAAAGATCTGAGCGCATATATTTCGCCCTACTGCCTGTTGGTAAAGCTGCTAGACAGTATATTTCCCCTTTCATGTTTGTATAGATATAGCAGATATGATTTTGCCCACTCTCCTGTTTGCTAAAGATGACTAGCGATATATTTTCCCGCCTCTCTGTGTGTAAGATGCTAGCACGATATATTTCCCCCTCTCCTGTTGTAAAGGATACTAAGCAGATATATTTTCCCTCTCCTGCTTGGTATAGAGTGCTAGCAATATATTTCCCCCCTTCCTGTTGTAAAAGATACTAGCCAGATATATTTCCCTCTCCTGTTGTAAAAGATGACTAGCAGATATATTTCCCCTCCTCTGCTTGTAACAGTACTAGCAAGAATATATTTCCCCCTCTCCTGTGTAAAGGATGCTGCAGATATATTTCCCCCTATCTGTTTTAAAGATACTTAGCAGATATATTTCCGCCTCTCCTGTCTGTTTAAGATGTTAGCAGCATATATTTCCCGCCTCTCCTGCTTGGACAAGATACTAGACCAAGATATATTTACCCCCTCCTCTGTTGTAAAAGTACTAGCACGATATATGTCCCCTCTCCTGTTGTAAAGATGCTAGCAGATATATTTCCCTCTCCTGTTGTAAAAAGATACTAGCAGATAGCTATTTCCCCTCTGCCGCTTGTAAGATGCTTAGCAGATATATTGTCACCCTCTCTGTTGTAAAGTGCTAGCAGATATATTTCCCCTCTCTGTTGTAAAGATATAAGACAGACAATTATTTCTCCCCTCTTCCTGTTGTAAAGAAAAAAGCTAGCGAAAAAGCTCTTCTAATGGCAGGCAGACTTATTTCTTTACCTTCCCGGTCAATTGAACGACCAGTTAATTTTACTAGCATCCTTCGCCGCTGCTACTTGATGGAATGGAGCTTATATGGCCGGACTCCCAGCTTGTTGATCGATGTGATGTGTTTTTTCCTTTCTTGCTAACTGTTCTTCTTCCGCTTTTTCACACTCTTTTCCCTCTTTTTTTCTCCTTTCGTTCTTCTTTTTCTGCGTGGCCTGTATGGTCTGTCTTGTCTGTCTCTGTCTGTTTGTCTGTCTGCTCTGGTCGTCCGTACGTGCGTTCGTTGTCGGCGTCCGTCGCGTCCGATCGTCCGTTCCGTCCGTTCCGTCCGTCCGTACTTTCCGGTCGCGTCGTCCGTCCGGTCGTCGCGTCCGTTACCAGCGTTCGTCCGTCCGTGCCGTCCGTCCGTCCCGTCCGGTCCGTTCGTCCGTCCGTCCGTTCGTCTCAGTCCCGTCCAGTTCCGTCCGTCCGGTCCGTCCGTCACGTCTAGTTTCATCCGCATCCAGTCGTTCCGTCCGTCCCGTCCTCGCGTCGTCCGTCCGTCCGGTTCGACCCGTCGGCGTCCAGTTCCGTCCGTCGTCCGTCCGGTCGTCCGTCATCAATCGTCCCGTCCGTGCCATCCATCCATCGCATCCGTCCGGTCGTCCATACCGTCCGACGCACATTCCATCCGTCCAGTCGTTCCGTCGTCCGCATCCGTCAATCCATTCCGTCCATCGTCCGTCGCGTCAACTAATATCCGGATCCGTCCGGTCGGCCGTCCGTCCGAGTCGTCCGTCATCGTCGTCCGTCATCCGTCCCTCCGTCCGTCCACGATCCGTCCGTCCGTCCGCACCGTCCGTCGTCGTTACGTCCGTCGTCCGTCGTCGTGCCGTCCGTCCGATCCAATCTCGGGCGCCTGCCTGCGGGACATCTATAACGCTTAGATAGTCTTGCGTTATACATGCTCATTATTATTTTGCGTTGCTTATGCGAGGTGCACTTATCGTATATTGGTTTCTCGTTGTTTCAGCCCTCAAACGACCATCATTACGGCAGCACAAGCCGTCGCACATCCCAACTGTGCACGACGCCGTGTTTACGCATAACGCGCGACTGCTATGCTGCAACGGATCTGCTGTGGGTCGGACCAGTGCTGGGGTCGTTCTCAACCTGCCCCTCCCCCACCTCACTGCATCAACCACCAGGCCGCTCCCACCTACCTAACGTGAGCTGGTGAGCCGTATACACGGTTGTTAGACATTTGTGTCGTGGTGAAATTGAAACTAAATTTAAATACATTCATAATCGATGATAACTTAGGTAATACCACAAACTTTAACTACCAGTACTACATTCTTAGGCATAAGACTACAATACTGTAACTCAATTATATATATATATATATATATATATATTATTATATATGTGTGCTTGTGTGCCGCCAGCTGTGTGTGTGGTGTGTGTGTGGGGTGTGTGTGTGTGTGTGTGTGTGTGTGTAGTGTGTGCCGCGCGTGTGACAACGTGCCGTGCGCTCGTCGGCGTGCGGTAGCGCGTGCTTGCGCTGTGCGCGTCTGTGTGCCGCGTGCGCGGCATGGATGTTGTATGCACAAATCATTCTATAACTGATATATTTTCAGTTCATTCGTGATCTGTCATCTCCGTAGATCCGTCATTCGTTGGACATGCGACTGCGGCGCTGACTATTATAACCCTCCTGCGTTTCAGGCATCCCACACGGACACACCGCGGTCAACGTTACGCTTCCTCACCTGCGTTGAAGCATGACGCCGAGCGTGCCACCTCTGGGGCAAGTCAAGGGCAAGGTCGAGCCAGCGCAAGCGCCGACAAGGCTCGGTCTCCGCACAACCGTGTGTTGGGTGAATCAGCGGCTAGCGCGGTGACGGCTTCGAAGACTTTCAGAATTTCGCGTCTAACGATTCAGCCGGGCGTGACGATAGCACAAACCACCTTCTGCTGTGGCAGTCTAGCTTCACCCACTGTTCTCTTCTAGGCAACCTCATCTTTCTGTGGCAGGTCTAGCTTCACCCACTGTTTCTAGGCAACCTCATCTTTCTGTGGCAGGTCTAGCTTCGCCCGCTGTTTCTAAGCAACCTCATCTTGCTGTGGCAGGTCTAGCTTCGCCCGCTGTTTCCAGGTGGCCTCATCCTGTTGCTGTAGGTATAGGTCCGCCCGCTTTCGCTAGGCAACCCCATCTTGCCACCTGTAACGCCCACTGTCGCAAGATTAACGCTTGCTGCACGGGAACTCGTTGTAGGCAACCGTCTGCTAGTGCTCTGGAAGGTTGGGAGCAATACATTGCTTCAGCGATCCATGAACTTGGCCGACCATGCTTGATCTCCACCATGCATCTACCGATGTAAATGATCTCTAGCTTGTGCCTTTTATCCACACATTTTCCTCATCATCTGGAAGGTCTAACCACTCGCACTGTTGCTAAGCAACCACCTGCCTAGTTGAAAACGTCTGACCACTCGCACTGTTGTTTGGCGACCACTCACTAATCGTGCATAGCCTAACTTTCTTTACCGCTAGGTGGCCACCTGTTACTTGAACAGCTCTCAAGCCGCGTGCCGTTGCTAGGCAACGTCCGTGAAGGTCCGTGGCTGGCCATGCAATCCCCGCATGTTCCATCTACGTAACTGATAACAGGAAGAGATGGCGTATTCAACGCATGTTTCTGGGTAGAAAACAGATGAAATCTTCAGGAATTTTCACAATATTTTTATGCCTATACTCGGAACAAAAACATCAGTTGTGTTGCGCGCCCTGTGTCACAGCCCCTACCCGTTGTTTAATGGTAAACATGATAAAGTATAGTTGATACTTCAACCTGGCAGCCGTGGCCAAACATTGAACGTTTGTATTCTGTTATTCGTTAGCACACCACCTTTTGGCTCATCTGTGGGGTACGCTACTTTCTTTACAAAGGCTCCGCCTCCCTGCAAGTGTATTGTCATTGTCTATGATTACCGTATATATCATTAACCAGGACGTAGTTGTAATTTTGTACAGCGGTCTGTCCTCCGTAGAACTCCTATTACACATCTGAAGCTGAATTCGCGAATTAATATCGCGTCCAACCCGAAACCGAGGTCTCTGTAAAGCTTTTATTGTTCGACCTCTAATGAGTAGCATTCCAGTGTTTCGGGGGCTGGAAGACATTGCTGCTTGCCGCGAGTTTTCGTGCTCGACTCACGATCCTTCCATAGCGATGATGCATCTACTGTGCTTCTCTCATCGCTGAGAGTCACAGAACAGAGGGAAACACACGTACAGAGGGGGGAAGCCCATCATAACGTACACGTAAGAAGCGGTAACGTTAGCAGCTAATTTTAGTGTCATTAACTGTCTTGGTCGATTTAACTGGATTATACCAGCTGAATTTGTGTGTCAGAAGTCTATACTCGATAGGTAAGTGTGGGATGCTTGCTTGTGGACTGCTTGTGGACCTCTACTCACCTGATATCCGTGGAAGCAGATCTGTAAAGGCGTTCAAGAGTGCCATACGCGTCAGTCGCTTGTGATTAGCGAGCTGCCTTCCTCCTGAACTCCAACCCTGAGGTTATTACCTAAACTGAGTTTGGAATTACAGGGCAAGCCGGATATCTTCTCATGAGTGTACTAATCAGTCATTAACAAGTAACCCCGTCGTGGGCCGTTCGCATAAAACTAACAAGGTTTCTCGGTGCTAGTTGGTGAGGTTTCTCGTCGACTGAAAGTGAAATGTGTCAGAGCATGTGCTTCTTCCAGGTAGCGGTCTTTTCTGAGTTGCAGTGCTTAGCGTATTGGAATCAAAGCAATCTCCATTGCATGTTGCAATACACCATGCCCTCTAGAACGCATACAACCATATATATATATATATGTTTTCTATGTAGAAACGGTGAAACGGTAGCCGCTGTATTTGCGCTAAAAGATTACCTCAGAAGATTTTTATTTGATTTAATTCTAACCTAGCTGTACCCATTTGTTAATTAGCACTCGGCAAGTAACGATCGTTTAGCAGTAACTATTTATAGTTAGTACTTGCTCCCCGCTTCTCTAATGCAGCTGCAGGAGGCTTCACTGGCGTTTTGTTTTGCGCGCTCTATGGGGCATTAGAACGCGTTCGTCGTCGAATGACTGGATATAGCGTGATTATAGCAGCGATTAGCAGCGAGTTTTATAATAGCTAACCTATGTTCGTACGCAGCTTTCCCACGAAAAGGTGGAGTTACTGTTCTATTGTTTCGCCGTCGGCTGTGAACGTGAAGATTATGATGTAAACTACTCTCTGTTGTTTTTATTTTGGTGCACAAAGCCTTATTTATAAATCTGTAGATATGTATTATTTATATGATGTATTTATAGCCAAGCTGGTACGAGCCGTCTTGTGTGTATGAAGTCATACAAAAACTGGTGTTTTACTGTACTCTGTCGTATAGGAGTGATGTGCCTTTTGAAGGAAAGATGTTGACATTTCAGATTTTAATAAATTATCTTTCCAGCATATACCACAGTACATACATTTTTAGCTTATTTTTGTATATCTTTGTGTACATAGGCCTACTTGCGTTTTGGGCCGTTATGGCTGAAGAAAACTGCATAAAATATAGCAGTGCTTGGTTTCTTAATTTGTCCGTATGACTCGTTTGCAGACGAGGATAGCAAGAGTCAGAAGTCGAGGGAACTGATCCTGCAGGATTCGTCACAGGAAGACGGCAAGGACGCTCAAATACTAGTGCCCGCAAACGATACGGCAGGAAACAGCCCTCAGCAGTCTCTTATGTGGCTAGGAACAGAAGACGGATGGTAGGTTGACGACGACTTACTGTATAGAAACGTTTTCAGAAGCCACGTTTACCAAATGGTACAGTAATCATCAGTTGTTTTGACATTTTTATATTAAAAAGTTTTCATTATTGGTAATCGGAAACCGTTTTATTTTCTCAAAAAGAAGAAGAAAAAAGACGGTAATATTAACCAATCAATGACTAGTGTTCCTGTTTTTTCTGCTCAGCATTCACGTGTACAACTGCAATGATAACATCCGCATCAAGAAGAACAAAGTTCGGCTACAACACAATGCTGCTATACAGTGCATTATGTAAGTGAAATTTCGAGTAACGTACCTACTGACGGCTATCGTCCGACATATCTGTGGTGTGGACGAATCTGTAAGACCCTGTAATTAACTGTAAACCTCCCCAGAACTGTAAACCTCTTCATCCGCAGAAGAAATTGAGGTGCGTTTTGTACATAGCCGACGAAGGACAACCATGCGTAGAGTATACAGTTCAGTTCAGTCAAACATAAATTATAGTGATTTGTATGCCAAATACTATCTATTTTTCATGGTAATATTGTTGGTAAAGAGTTAATTACCTTCAAACCACCCGAATTCCCCGTATTTTGCAAGCATTTCTAACTGTCAGCATTGGTAATATTCGGTGTGCTATTCCGCTGAGGTGTATAATAATATACCGTACCGTAGTTAAAAACCTACACTACTGTCATTCACCTTATACGACACAAGGTGGTTTTGGTATACACATTTTCTGAAGAAAAATGCGTCCGTTAAACCGCGAAATGCCGTATAAGAATGAATGTTTAATGAAGCATACGTTCGGGCGATGCATATATGGTTGTATTCTATGTCACGTCTGTAACGTGGATGCGTTTTTGCTGCAGATATTTAGACAACAAAGTGTTTGTGTCGTTAGCCAATGGTGACCTCTCTGTCTACAAGCGGGATACAGGTACGCACCGTTATACCTTGTATGTTTACACGTTTACGTTTATTTATAGGTTACACGTTTATACCTGAGATGAAATGCACGGGGCTCGTGACCAAATAGGGTTTCGATCGTGACTAGACTTGGGTTTAGTGTAAATGCTATGCAAATGACATCACTACAAGACTCTAAATCTAACATTTATAAAGTCTAGCATGCATAATATGAAGTAATTTCATGTTTAGGATAGGTAAGGGTGGTATATATTTAATAGGTAATTACTATTGTTTTCTATAATTTCCCACGGAAAACCATCGTCAAGTAGAACACTGTAGTCGATTCACTCGTAAGTAACCTATATTTGAAATACACCCGATGACGAACTGTTATGTTACTTGTTTCTAGCGGGAGGCTGGGACACGGGAAATCCGATTACTGTAACGTTAGGTAGCGCTACTGCACCTATCACGCGTATGCTTGGGGTCCAGGGACAAGTGTGGTGCGGCTGCCAGAACAACATTCTAGTCATAAACACCACATCACTATCGGTGGAGGTAATATTACAGGCTATTTCATAACAATCATTATTTCTGAAAAGTGAGTGCACTCTAACATTATACTCAGTTTATCTACGTGTAAATATAAACTGTAGTTATCTATACAAAGAAAATTAGAAACTCATGCAATATGAAACTCATGAACGTAATATCGACATCGATTGATTTCCAATGTACACGTCTCATTCCGCGTGATAACATGATAATGACGTTTCAGCACACATTTCCGGCATGCAACGACACGAGTCGTGCCATCCGTCACATGACGAGCGTCTGCTTCGGTGTCTGGGTGTCGGTGCAGAACAGCGCAATCATCAAGCTGTTTCACGGCATCACGTACGAATGCTTACTCGATGTCAACATGGGTCCACCTGTCGCCAAGATGCTAGCAGGTATGTCACCTTCCCATATTGTCAAGATACTAGCAGACATGTCTTCCCTTGTTGTAAAGATAGTAACAGTTATGTCCCTTTCTCCTCGTGTAAAGATATGAGCAGATATTTCCCCCTCTCCCGTTGTAAAGATACTAGCAGATATATTTCCCCCTCTCCTGTTGTAAAGATAAGATACACTAGCAGATATATTTGCTTAACCTGCCACTGCTGTAAAGATACTAGCAGATATATTTCGCCCTCTTCTGTGTAAGATGCTAGCAGATAATATTTCCTCCTCTCCTGTTTGTAAAAATACTAGCAGATTATATTTCCCCTCTCTGTTGTAAGATACTAGCAGATATATTTCCCCTCTCCTGTTGTGAAAGATACCTAGCAGATAATATTTCCCCTCTCTGTTGTAAAGATGCTAGCCAGATAATAATTTCCCCCTCTCACTGCCTGTATAGATACTAAGCAGATATATTTCCCCCTCTCCCTGTGTCAAGATAGCTAAGCAGATATATTTCCCGCCTCTCTGTTGTAAGAGATACTAGCGAGATATATTTCCCCTCTCCTGTTGTAAAGACACTATAGCAGATATAGTTTCCCCTCTACCTTGTTGTAAAGCTACCTAGCAGATATATTTCCCCCTCTCCTGTTGTAAAGATGCTAGCAGATATATTCCCCCTCTCCTGTTGTAAAGATACTAGCAGATATATTTCCCCGCCTCTCCTGTTGTAAAGACTGCTAGCAGATTTTTATAGTTTCCGCCCTCTCCTGGTTGTAAAGATACTAGCAGATCATATTTCGCCCCTCTCCTGTTGTAAAGATAACTAGCAAGATATATTCCCCTCTCCTGTTGTAAAGAATACTAGCAGATATATTTCGCGCCCTCTCCTGTGTAAAGATCTAGGCAGAATATATTTTCCCCCTCTCCTGTTGTAAAGATGCCTAGCAGATATATTTCCCACCTGGCTCCTGTTGTAAAGATATCTAGCAGATATATTTCCCCCTCTCCTGTTTTGTAAAGATGCTCGCAGATCATATTTGCCCCCCTCTCCTGTTGTAAAGATTCCTAGCAGATATATTTCCGCCTGCTCCGTTGTAAAGATACTAGCAATATGATTTCCGCGCCTCTCCTGTTTGTAAAGATGCTAGGGCAGATATAGTTTCCCCCTGCTCCTGTGTAAAGATACGTGAGGCTACAGATATATTTCCCGACCATCTCCTGTTTGTAAAGAATGCTAGCAGATATTATTTCATCCCTCTCCTGTATGTAAAGATGCTAGCAGATCTATTTCCCGCCTCTCCTGTTGTAAAGATACTAGCAGATAAATATTTCCCCCTCTCCTGTTGTTAAAGAAAAAAAGCTAGCAAAAAAGCTCTCTAATGCCCAGCGACCTTATTTCTTTACTTCCCGTCAATTGAACGACCGTTAATTTTACAGGCATCTTCGCGCTGTACCCTTGTGCGAAATTGAGGTTATCTGCCTACTCCCCCAGTTGTAACGATGTGTGTTTTCCTTCTTGCTGACCTGTTTCTCTCCGCCTTTTCCACCTCTTTTCCTTCTTTTTTTTCTGCCCTTTCGTTCTTCTTTTTCTGCGTGCCTGTCTGTCTGTCTGTGCTGTCCCTGTCTGTCTGTCTGTCCTGTCTGTCTGTCTGTCTGTCTGTCTGGTCTGTCTGTCCTGTCTGTCTGTCTGTCTGTCTGTACTGTCCTCGCTCACTGTCTGTGCTGTCTAGTCTGTCTGTCTGGTCCTGTCTGTCTGTCTACTCTGTCTGTCTGGTCTGTCCTGTTTGTCCTGTCTGTCCTGTCCTGTCTGTCTGTCTGTCTGTCCGTCCGTGGCGTCCGTTCGTCCGTCCGTCCGTCCGTCCGTCGCGTCGTCCGCTCCGTCCGGTCATACCGGTCGTCCGTCGTCGTCCGTCCGTCCGTGCCGTTCGTCCGTTCCGTGCAGTCGTCCGTCGTCCGTCCGTCCTTATTCATCCGTCCAGTCCGTCCGTCGGCGTCCGTCGCGGTCGGTGCCGTCCCATCCAATCCGTCCGTCGCATCATACCATCGCGTCCGTCCGGATCCGTCCATACCGTGCGCCCATCCATCGTCAGTTCGTCCGTCGTCCCGTCGCGTCCATCGCTATCCGTCCAGTCGTCTATCCGTCCGTCCATCCGTCCTCCAATCGTCCCGTCGTCCGTCCGTCCGTCCGTCCCATCGCGTCCGTGCCATCGTCCGTCCGTCATCTCCCGTCTCAAGTCGTCTCGTCCGTCGTCCCGTCCGTCGGCGTCCATCGCATCCGTCGCGTCCATCCGTCCGTCGTGCACCATCCGTCCAGTCGTCGCGTCGTCCGTCCATCATCCGTTTCATCCGTCCGTCCGTCCGTGGGCCGGTGGCGCGGTCGTCCGCCGTCCGTCCGTCCCGTGTGCACCATCTGCCTGCCTGTCCTGTCTATCTTATACGGCTAGAGTCTGCGTTCAATGACATTATTATTATTGGGCCGTGCTATGCGAGTGCACTTGACCGTATCTTGTTTTGTGTCCAGCCTGCAACGACATCATACGGCAACACAAGGCCGCGTGTTTACGCATAACGGCGCTGCTCTGCTGCAAGGATCTGCTGTGGTCGGACCAAGTGCTGGGTGGTTCTCGACCTGCCGCCTCCCCACCTCCTGCATCAACCACCAGGCGGCTCCCACCTGCCTTAACGTAGGCTGGTTGAGGCTATACACGGTTGTAGATATTTTCGTGTCGTTGAATTGCAATGAATTAATACATTCATAAATCGATGATAACTAGGTAATACCACAAACTTAAAAACTACTCATCTACGCAATTCTTAGCATAAACACAATACTGTATCGCTTCAATTATGATATATATGTAGTATTACACATATATATATATATATGTGTGTGTGTGTGTGTGTGTGTGTGTGTGTGTGTGTGTGTGTGTGTGTGTGTGTGTGTGTGTGTGTGCCGTGGCGTGTGCCGTGGCGTGCGAGTGCCGCGTGTAGCGTGCGCGAGCGCGTGGCGCGTGCGGTGCGCGTGTGCGTGCGTGGTGTATAGGCACAAGCTCATTTAAAACTAATATAATTTGCAGTCATCATCGTCATTCGTGTGAACATGCCGACCCAAGGCCTGACTATAAACCCCTGCGTTTTCGGCATCCCACACGGGACCACACCGAGTCACGTACGCTTCCTCAGCCTGCGTTGAGATGACGCCGAGCGTGCGCACCTCCTTCAAGATCAAAGGGCAAAAGGTCGAGCCAGCAGGCGACAAGGCTCGCGGGTCTCGGGGACCACCAAAAAACGTGTGTTGGTGATCAGCGGCGGTGACGCTTCGAAGAGCTTTCAAATTTTCGCGT